CTTGTCTTGCTGATCGTTTTTGTTATATAAAGTTTAAATCTATCTGCTATAGTTTTCAAAATAATAGCCAAAAACACCAAAATATTAGTAAAAATCATTAAAAAACAAAAATTCCAAGAACGAGACGACTAACGATTTCGACCATCATTTGACCACTTTGTAGATCTTGTCTTGCTGGATATTTTTGCTATTGAAAGGTCTCTCATTTTATAAAAAAAAAATTCATTATAGATACCAGAATTACAATTTTGTACGCCAGACGCGCGTTTTGTCTACAAAAGACTCATCAGTGTCGCTCGAATAAAAATAGTTAAAAATGTCAAATTAAGTATGAAGTTGAAGAGCATTAAGGACCCCTTAATTCCGAAAGGTATTGCTAAATTCAGCTAAGATAATCTATTCTTGGTGTAGAAAATCCTAAGTATTACAACATTTTCCAAATTTGGCAAACAGTAGATTTATAATTATGACCATATCAATGATAATTCATGTCGGCACAGTGGTGCTGATCACACAGCCTCTGTATGGTTGTCCACATTACCCGCTCTGTATTAAACAGATCATATTTTCAGAATCTACATTTATTTAATGGATAAAGGTTAATTGTATGTGTTCCGGACTATATGAGTATTTGGACCATACGCGTATGGCCATGACCAAATGCGTATACTCATATGGTTCGACCATACGCGCATGGTCGGACCATATGAGTAATATACTCGTTTGGTTATTAACGGCCGAACCATATGAGTATTTAGACCGTGTAGGTATTTTTTGAATAATTCTTACTTCCTTTGTAGGAACACACAGCTCATTCTCTAGACCAATATACGGCACAAATTACTATCTGAAGTCCTATCATCTTTTACACATTATATGAATCTTGGTGTATCTGTTATCTTACAGTCGTTAGAGTCAATTTAAATCGTCTTCATATTGTCGATATTCGTCCGTAATTGAAACCGCATGCGTTTAGGGCATGGACTTTTTTCCCCCTCTTTTCTTATTTTTAAATTATTACTTTTATTGACAAAATTTCTACTTATTTCTGTATATTTTCATTTAATTGGTGTATTCTTGTTCTTATTGATACGATCTTTGTTAGATCGCACGAATAGGAGTCTATTAAATGACTAAAACAATAAGAAATATTTAAGAAATTTTAATTTAATACAAAGAAATTTAAACATAAAAACATTTTTTTTTAAAAGAAATAGGGTTCAATGATCAAAGTTCCTGTGAGTTAAGCAATAGACTTATTTCATTTCATTTATATATTTCTTGAATTTATTTTCCAAAGTCGACATATTGCGTTTTGAAAGGACAAATCGAAAATGACCATGTTAAAGTTATTTCATCATAATTCTCACTTGTAAGTAATATTCATTTTATTAAATTAATCATGTAACAATGTGTTTGTATAAGTCAAAATTTCATTTTTAGAAACTCTTAATTTATGTGACACCTTTTCAACGTTCATCATGTTAATTACCCGGACCATACGCGTATGGTCGGACCATATGAATATATACGAAGATGGTCATGACCATACGCGTATGGTCCAAATACTCATATGGTCCGGAACATATGCACAGAATATGCATAATTCATCTGTAACAGAATGATGAGCAAACAGCAGCCTGACATTAATTATCTGTAAATCAATTCATCTAATCATTTAAGTAAAATGACCAGCTCAACTAAAAAATTCTTGCTCTATGGTCCATTAACTATAATTCGAAGGTATTGAGACGATTTTTCTGTAATTCAGCTAATGACGTTAGGGTTTGCATTGCCAATAGACCTATAGGAAATAATCAGAAAAAATAACCTCTTGAAAACTAATCAGATTAAGTCATACATGAAAGATTTGTCACTATTGTACTTTATGCAAATCAGATTTATCATTATTGTTCTTTGTTGTTCTTTATGCAAACAGATATACATTCTTTGATATACCTAATTTTAATCAAATATGTCTCTTGTACTTAATGCAAGCCAGATTTGTTCCTTGTTGCACTTTATGCAAATCAGATATGTTTCTTGTTTTCCTTAATGTAAATCAGATATGTCCCTTGTTGTATTTATGCAAATCAAATGTGTTCCTTGTTGTACTTTTTTCAAATCAGATACTACTATGTTCCTTGCAGTACTTTATGCAAATCAGATATTTCCTTGCTATATATCATGCAAAGCAGATATTTTCCCTGCTGCATGTTATGGAAATCAGACAACAGTGGCCTTGTGAGATACACCATGGGCCGAGTGTGGTAATTTGTCCTTTATATGTCTTACATGTTAACGCGTTGCAATACATTTCTTGTATATGTCACTTATGGAGTTTTGCAACTGTCGTGTAGGTTGATCAGACAACCAATATGACTGATAGTTAATTAAGGTCTATGTTAAGATTGGAGCCTACGGGAAATTTATTTTGCTTTATATATTTAATTTGGTTGCTCTTTAAAGATGTCTGCTGCGAGGTTGTCGCCTTTTATCGTAAGGAATAACGGCGTTCCAATGACCCCCTCCGATGCACATATTTTATCTATCAAAGAGCAATAAATAATAAAACAATTTTGAATCTTTTAAACGTTTTCATAATACCCTATATATATATATATCTCCATATAATTTTATATCAATGGGGCATCAGTTTTGTAAATATAGTTGATCAGCATGATTTATCGAACACTCTCATGATCTTGCTTATATAAACACACCTTAAAGGTTGATATAAGATTCGGAGAAAATTGACAAGAAAAGTAAGCTTGAAAGCTATTACAATACCAATAAACTCATTATAGATAACAGGATCAACTTTTATTGATACATTTGTTATACCCTATGGCTGTTCTCCCTATTGCACAGATGTATCACGATCGCCCGGAATTAGCAATGAGGTAATATTTGGTTTCGTCACGTTGAAGGTGATTTTGATGAGAACGGCAATACATACGCTATACTTTGTGGTTTTTTGTTACATTTGCGCATAGTTAATTATGGTGTCGTACCATGAATTGAATTGAATCACCACCCTTTCTTTTCAAATATAATAATACAATAAGAATAGGGCCGCATATACATTTAAAGTCTTGAAAGAACGTTTTTTTTATATATCTATTAGTTTAGACGCTGTTTATACGTAAAGTTTTTCTTGTTGGTGAAAGACAGCATCAATTATGATAATACATTGTCATTTAAGTATTGAATGCTCTTTTTCTGTTTTAATTTGCACAGGTGCTTGGGTACAAAATTTTGATAAAAAAAATCATTGTTTGCACTGATTATTCAGTTTTCAATTTTAATATCACATACTGAACACTACTAAGCTTGCCTTACCCTGTTTTGGATGAGTACCAATAAACTTTATAGAATAGCTTAATCAACATCAGGTCAACCTTGCTTAAGACAATATATATATGTTCCTTGTTTTCTATCCATGTACATTGTCCTGGTATGGCGATAAGTAGGCAAGCATTTATGTCGGCGAATGCTCCATATTATAAAAAGGTGGAAGGTCACTTTTGTTTGCGTTATTTCTAGGCGATGTGTACTTTCTATGATACAAATTACTTCATTAGCGAAAGAATAGACCATTTACATTAATTCTTTTTAATTGGTATTATTTTCTCAGTAAGTTTTTAATTTTGCTATTCCTTTTGTTCAATCCTTCACTTGAAATCATATTCTGTTTTACATACATATCATACAAACGCATATCGGTGTGAATTGAGATAGTAAACAATACACATAAATTATTCAGAAAGCTTGCTTAATTAATACAAATGTAGACAAATAGACAACACTAACATGTACAGTCAGGAATTTCGTTGCTGTTTTTTTATTTTGTATGACTATTGTAACAGTTGTTTTTTGTTGTTTTAGGAGATAGTTGGATCGCTGTATCATTTGCTGTTACTCCTTTTATAAAACGCTGAACCCGCTCGCTCTGTAAACGGAATCAGCATACAAAATGTGTCAACAAGGGATGGAAATACATTAAAACTAAAGGTACAATATGTTCAAAAGAGACTGAAAAAGAATAGCAAAATCAGTCTAAGATCACCTTTGCTTCAGGGAATTTGAATATAAGTTTCTGAATAATTTCTAGATTGTTCAACGAAAATTTAATCAAGGTAATGAAATTATTTATAAAGGAAAGCATTAAAGCTAAATTAGAAAATCGTGAGATCGCCAATTTATGTGTATGTTACTTACTGGACTTTCAAACACATAAGTCATGTCCCATCAATAACAATTCAACTATGAAGAAGCTATTCCAGTATAATATAATCCGACACCACTTTATGGCAAATGTTTGAAAAATTTCTCTAATATACATTTCTAAGAAGTTTTGAACAATTTTAACTTTGAGCTTTATAAAAGAAGAATTTGAAAATTGACCGGTCAAAACAAGTCAATACATTTGCGGGGATAACCCGAATGTACTTTTCTACCATTCCTACCAAGGTTGCTAAAATGTCAGTGCCCATCTCTTCTTGTTTCACATCATCATACTATTAGAAACACAGACCAAAATATGCATTTGTTTACTTTCGGTTCATAAAAAAATACACCAGTGACATACACCAATTTCGGCATATCAAATATTATCATTTATAATGGCTATATAGATGTAGACCTTAATATGACAGATAAACTCATCTCATTTACACACGCATATATAACCCGGAACTTGGATGTGCTAACTGTTTTTCAGTTTTGGAAAGTTTTAGGTGAAGTTATGACCTCAAGTTGTCGTTGTTCCACGTATTGGATCTAAATTTCACGTGTTGTCATAGTATTCGAAAATAATAACAAACAAGGTTTGGATCATTTCATAAATTCTACATTTGCATGCCTTGTTAAAATAATGAATGATATAAATTTTTGTTTGATTATATAAAATATATATTAGCTTCATTTGCGCACCTTATAGTTAATCAGAATTTTCCTAAAAGGTTATTGAGAATATCATAAATTAGTAATGACTCATTCCAATAAAATCAAATGACATAATGATTCTAAATTTCAGTTCCATTAGCCGAACATTTCAAGATTTATCCGACTAGATCTAAATCCACATAGTCACATGTCTAGATACATATATATTATTACAGTTCAGATATTGCACTTTCAGAAAAGCAAAGGCATCAGTGGAAGGGTATTTGGTTTATTTCCTACATATGCCTTACGCTCAAAGTTGTGTCCGTATATGGATGCTGATTACAACTAATAACATCTATATGCAGGGATTGGTAAGTATTCAGAAACTTAGATTCGTGATTTTCATCGTTTGTGTCATATACACAATTACTGCTTAAAGAAGAGCGTATATTAATTAGTTGTTCTCACTTAATACTTGTTGTTTTGTCTCTCTTATCTCTTGTAAGGGGGTCTCTCTAACCACTTGTGCTGCTGTTTCTGCAAGTTCTTGCAGTGAGACATCACCCAACGGTTGTTCTACAATTTCTTGTATCGTTTGTATTGAGGTTGGCATCGACATTTGTTTGTCATCGCGCATACCATGATTTTCAATTTGATCATTTCGCGGCTGCGATAATCTTTTGTCGATATTTTTTTCCAAAGCTATATCGATTTCCTCGTCGTGTTCATTGGTATTTACTTTATTAGCTTGATTTTCAGATAATGGGGAACTTATTTGATTTCGTCGATAGTATCGGACAAAAAGACAACACAAGATAAAAGTTACAATCACAAGTAATGTCGACAGTAATGAGAATAATATCAATTCTGTATTCTTGCTAAATACGTTGTTTTCTGATTCTTGAAGTCCTGCAATACAAACAAAAAACGTTTTGACAGTACATTGTCAACTTACAAAAAAAAAGTCTTCGGATGATAAATCTATTTGAATAAGCACATGGGAAGGCTAAGGGGTATGTTTCAATGATGCGTAACGCCCGAAAATTACCTCTCATGTATGCACAACAATTAAAAAAACGACTTAAAAAAGCGAGAACAATATTACATCAAAGCTTGAGGAAGACCTGGGCTTTATCATGTTTATGTTAATTAAACACTATATGTTTTCTAAACCTAACCATTTATGCGAACAGATGATGGTGAACTTATCCGTTTTAACTTCAACACACATATATCTTTTGTGCACATTGAGAAAGGCTGACATGAGTGTATCTGCAGCTGAGGGTTCAATGTTTGTTGATTTGTATTTTGAGTTTTTTGTTCTGTAATTTTGGTTCACTGTTTAGTACTAATGCTATCTCCATAGTTGTTAATGTAAATGCAGATACTTCTGTGTTTATGAAAGAGTGTTCTGCCTATTCTGTGTCATTATCAGGCTGAATTATATGGAGTGAATGGATCTCTATAAATTTTTTTAAGAAGGTTCAATACCACAAAAGGAAGGTTGGGATTGATTTTGGGGATGATGGTTTCAACCGTTTAGGAATTAGGGGCCCAAAAGAGGCCCAAAAGAAGCATTTTTCTAGTTTCAGGATAATAACTTGTGTATAAGTATTTTGATTGCTCTGGAATTGTACGACAATTTTTAATACCACAAGTAGAAGGTTGGGATTTATTTTAGGGGTTTTTGGGGCCAACAGTTTAGGAATTAAGGGCCAAAAAGGGGCCAAAAGCAAGCATTTTTCTAGTTTCCAGACAATAACTTGTGTGTAAGTGTATGGATCTCCCTGACATTGTACCACAAGGTTCCATATCACAAAGGGAAGTCTAGGATTGAGTTTGGGGTTAATTGCCCAAATATGTAGGAATAAGGGGCCAAAAAAGGGCCAAAAACAAGCTTTTTTCTAGTTTCCAGACAATAATTTGTGTTTAAGTGTATGGATCTCTCTGAAATTGTACTACAAGGTTCCATACTACATAGGAAAGGCTGGGATTGAGTTTTGGGGTTATTGCTCCAAGGGGGATTTCAAAAAGTTGGGGGGGATTCTTTTTCCTATTTTTTTAAGAGGACTGATATTTTTTTTTTTCAAAAGTTTTCATATTTTGAAATTTTGAAAAGTTTCAAGAAGAAATCTTCAATTGCACAGTATTGCGCAATAGATTTGTAAGATCTTTGACCACATTTATTTTGTGTCAGAAATCTATATTATGTCAAAATTTGATCACAATACAAATTCAGACAGTATGAGGCTTGCATATTGTGTCAAATTTGTACCAACTGTTCAGGGTTCGACCTCTGCGGTCGTATCAGGCTGCGCTCAGCGAAGCATTTTATTCTAATTTCCTACTACTTCAGAGAAATAGTTGAAAACAACAGAAATTTAGAAAAAACGATAGTTCACGTAAGATCAAGCATTACGTCATTGGAATGCATATGCAATACACAAAGACCACGTAAGCTCAGGCACGACTTCATTAGCAAGCAATGCATAAAAGTGGAACGGCAGTGGGCGGAGCTTAAAGCGATATATATATAGTATAAAATTACAGCACAGCGGTATCTGCTGGGTTGGTAATGTATGATAGGACACCAAATTGCAGGATAAAACTTTATTTCCTGCACATGAAACATCGCAAAAAGCAAAACATACAAGATCTACTTAGTCATCAAAAATTAAATACTACACCATAGGGAGACTGATTTCAAACATTCCTGTCATCAGAATACCTTTTTTAGCACATTTTATACTATAAAATATGTTGTTTTTAATAGAACAGTTAATTTACATTTTTTTATTATATAGAATTTTTGAGAAAAAAACCACAGGAATATTGATTGTTTTAAATGTATTCATCCGTGATTATATGAGCCATGATGTGTGGCTTCAGTCTCCGGTAGAACTGATCCGTGTTGCACATACCACATCCAGTATTTCGAATCCATTTTCTGACGTCTTTGCCCATTTCGAGCAGAAGTTGCGATCTTTGATTTAGGCAATACTGGGTTACCTATCAGTTGTCCTTGGTCATATGTAATGTTTTGCTTGTTGTAATTGTCGGTTATAGAGTTATACAAAAGAAGAGCAAAGTCGACATATTCGCCCCTTTGAACATGTTGATTTTTTGTCCTAATTTCTGACTTGCATGTAAAGTTATGTCATCGTCGAGGCTAGGAGAGTGACTATAGGTGCATACATGGAATTTGAATCAGCTTAACTCTAATTGTATTACCTGTATGATTTGTTGTATTTAAGGAAGGGGCCAACACTGAGACTCCAGAAGTTGAGAGACTGTTAGATGCCGGTACTTGAGCAGGTTGAGGTTGCATTTTCTCTTGTCTTTTTGAAGTTTCTAACGTTGCAGTGTTTAAAGTGGATTTCCGCTTTTTTAATGACATGCTTTTATATATCTTAGTACCTAAAACCAAAAGAATATATTTGAACAAATTTTTTTATATTATAGAATATATTTAAGAATATTGCTCTGTACCATAAATAACGAATTTGTTAGTTAGTTGCAACATCTGAAATCTCATTGACGCTAAAATCAGACTAATTATTCATTTATTAGTTTATGTGAAGTAATACCAGTACATAAATGTCGGTCGGCATACGATAACAAAAGCACATTTAGGTGGCACGTGCGAACAGGCGGATTCAATATCATGTACTGAATGACTAGGCGGTGGTAGAACTGCTGCTAAATAGTTCAAATGAGACGATGTGCTGTTAATCACCAGATCTAGTTAATAAATTGGATACAGTGGTAATTAAACAGAAAGCTAAACATAATTTGAATTTTATCTATAATGATAAAAGAACATCTATAAAATTTGGAGCACATGGTGCATGTAATCAAAAATGAAAGCTAATACTTATTCGAATTACATCTATAATAATAAACTCTTTTAGAGCAATGGTGTAGCAGACATGAAAAGATGAAAATAAATTATGTCGAGCATGCAAACTGTAACTTTGCATTTATCTGTGACCGCCCGAGGTAATATTTATTGCAGATCGGTGTCATGGCGCGTTGATATGAAATACAAATAACCGTGTAGATCTATATGTTACAGTTCATAAAGAAACTTTAGTAGCTTAATTATTATTTACAATAAAAGCCGCTTGCTTCATCCCGATAAGTAAATGTATGTCAACATGTAAAACGTAGCAATAAATTAAAATAAGTCTGCCATGATATACTTAATTTCTAATAAATATTACAGGAATCATGTGGATGACTAACTCTAATTATACCACATGAGTCTCGCTATTGGAAGAGTATACCAAACCTGAACAATGTGAATCCTATCTTTTGTTCAATCATTCATTAGTTTTGCCAACCGGTAAAATGTAAACAAATCATTGCGCCCTTGTAACCATATATAGTGCGCATGGTAAAACAGATAACTGATTTGACAGGAAGTGAAACGGCCAATAACGCAAGTTTGCTTACACGAATAGTTATATATACTAGTAACCGAATTTATGCTGAACAATACATTCTATTATATTAATATCAAACTTCAATTACAGTAATATTAATGGTCACCTTAATAGAGATTCTGTCTATTCTCCTTCAGGTGTAATACCACCAAATCATAGTACGTCACATCCGGTTGCATACGAAAATAGGTCGAAAAAAATATTCCCTTGAATTTGACAGTTGTAGGTAATTGATCCTACATTTCATTGCAGTAAAACATTTCTGGGTCATAAACATATATCTTGGGTATTTCAAAGCACCATTATTTTTTTTATTTGGGGTTTCTATAGAATATTTAGGAAACTTGAGGTTATATGGTTACTAAAGCTTGTACACAGGTTAAAAAAGGGGGAAAATTTGATTGGTTAACTTCCAGTGATGGTTATTTTCTTATATGCAATGAAATGTTATGTGAATTTTTTTCTATAGTACTGGAAAGGATAAAACTTTACTCATGCCAAGTATTTCTTTATTTAAAACAAAGATAAATTCTGCACAATTTTTTGAAAAGTGCAAATTTAACAAAGACTAATAGGGGAAATCAATGGTGGTATTACACCTTCAGTAGCTATACAAGCGAAGAAGACACACTATTATAACAACAAAGCATCGTTTTAGTTAATAAAACAGTTTCACATAAAAAATGTTGCCAAGTTATATTTTTAAAATCTATGTATGTATCTTTAGAAAGTTTAGAAGCGATTATGGTATTTCAACTTCAAACAAAATGGAACAGAAAAGGAAGTGTTTGGGGGAAATACCGCCACATAAACATGTTATAATTTAAAATAGTCTTGAGGTATCTTCCATAACGTTCCTTGGTTAGATATCCCCTAACTTCATTATCACTTAATAGTCAAATCGGACACCACTGTCATATTTATTTACATATCTAGTTGTTTCTTTAATCAATTATCATGTAATTGAGGGAAAAAAGACATATTACGGTATTAATAGATTTTATAAAAATCAAATATTAACATTTTTGTTTCCGTCCATACATTTTAAATGATTTAAAGGCATTATGTGCTCTTTAATTTTTATTTGGAAACATCAGTGTTGAATGATGGAAGAAATTGTATAACTACAAACGCAAAACAAACATCAGTCACACAATGAATATGACCGCGACTTTTTCCAAGGGAAGTACAAAAAGAAAAGAAAAGATGGTACCTGGATATACAAATGACCAATACCCAGTTGAACCCCATCCTGTAGAAACTCCAATATTTCTGATATTTAACGGGTTTGAGGTATCATTCCATTCCATAAATTCCCTATTCCATTCATCTTCCACTCTAATATGTCCATTTGTCCATTGAATATAAAATGTTCTATATTCGTTTTGTTTTAGAACTTTTCCACGATGCGTTACCAATGCTGTACCTTGTTTCCTGTCACGAATGACCGACTTTGAGTTAGCCCAACCACCCAATACTATCTCATAAAGAGGATCTTGGTCAGTATTTGAAGACATTAAAGCTATATGTGCATTGCTGCTGGCCTTAACCTTGAACTTAATACTATCGGCTTCTGGATTTCCAACATCAATGCCATTGTCTGACAAAAGTATATATTTATATCGGTTTGGGGTTTCAATATTTGGTCCCTGAAAACCTGTAAATATAACAACAAAAAACAACAATAAAGTATAAGATTTCGAGAAAAAACGACATGATTAGAAAATACAAATAATAACACCATTACAAACACAATTCCATTTTAATATTCATGTCTTGGTTAGAAAATACATAAAATAACACCATTACAAACTCAATCCCAATTTGATATTCTTGTACGTGCCTACAATAAAACAAGTCTATTCTATTTTTAGAAAAATACGTCACTTCTTATAATTCGTTTGTGGTGTCCTGGTGTACTGTCGTAAATTCATGGGAGGTGTCTGTTGTTATTTGTGGTTTACATGTTGTAATGTACTGTTATATTATTAATTTATGTATTTCTCTGTGCTATATTTATTTATATTTATATTTATTTGTACTGTATTCATGTCACGTAATGTTGTCATTTTAGCGATATTTTTAACATCGCCATATAAGCGGGAGGTTTGGATAGCCATAAAACTAGGTTCAACCCACATTTATTTCTTAAAATGTCCTCTACCAAGTCATGAATATGGCAGTTGTTATTTAATAGTCCGTTTCTATGTTTGTTGGCGTTTGTTTTTGTTGCAGATCAGTGTTTCTGTTGTTCCGTTGTTTTCCTCTTATAGTTGATGTGTTTCCCTCGGTTTTGGTTTGTGACTCGGATTTGTTTTCCCTTAATAATCTTATGACTATTGAACAGTGGTATACTACTATTGCCTTTACTTACGTCATTTGGTCTCTAGTAGAGAGTTGTCTCATTGGAATTTATACCACATCTTTTTATTTTTATAATCTACGTATGAGTCGTTTAGAGTTAACTGGACAGGAATGAATTTGAATGCACTTTTATAATTTGAGAAGATTTTTAATAATTTTATTAATATTTTGTCCTCTTCTTAGATAACTGATTCAAAAAGAATAACCCATAATTGAGTTTCACTATCATGGCAATTAATGTCAATATCCTTTTTTTAACGCAGAATAATGACCCTGTGTTAGAACGTCTACAATGTTGTTAGTGCTGTCATGATGTGTTCGTCTTTGTATCATTTTGCCTTAAGCCATGCTGATGTCTCTTCCTTTTTAACTTCTAAATTGTTTATTATCACCTTAAAAATATTTTCAAACTTTTGTAACGCACACTGGATAAAAGTTATAGCCACGCCTCCATTCAATACCGATCGCTTCAATTGTCAAATCATTTCCCAGACACAAATACTAGTAATAGTAAACCACTAGCTAATGAGACGGTGGTTGCGTAATCATTAATAGTCAAGCATCATTAGTTTAAACCCAACGATCATGGTAATGTCATAGGACCGATTGATTTTCATTATTATCTTCTATTTATAAATATATAATATGAACAGATCAGCGCAAAAGGAAGTAAAGAATATAATTTTTGCGCAGCTGGAAGTATGCCCAACTTTTTCCTTCGCTCAAAATTTAATCTGTATACAGGTTGGGAATGAATGATAAAAAGTTTCACAAACGCATATTTTATGCCATACTTTTATATTTCTATAATTTTTTCACGGATATGATTGAATGAAGTTTTTGTAACGAGATGGTGGTAAATCGACTATTCCCGACAAATCAATTATGACGCTATCCTATATTTTGACCATTCTCTTGGGGAGATATTTTTCAGCAATTTTGGTGAGCATTATTTACCACAAAATTGTTCTTGTGTTCCGTCTTGCTATTTGACAGTAGGTAATAAAACTTCTTAAGAAATGCAAACAGAAATGTGCATGTGAACCGTGATCGCATAATCTGAGTCACAACCTTTTCATGCGCTTTTTTACAACGTATTTACTATATAGATCTGTATTTATCATGGGATTTCATGTGTGTAACTGTGTACATATTTTTAGCATGTCACGATCTTTGTTATTGGTATCATGTAAGACAAGTGGCAACAAACTTAATATCCGAAGAAATCAAAGATCTACAAACAAACTCTGAGTCTACGTGGGTACAAATAAACATGACAAATGCCAGAAAGCTAATCGTTGGAAGTTAGAATTGACCTCCATATGATAATGGTACATACATAGAACAACTTAAAATCTCACTAGATCATATTAACCAAAATGCAAAACCGACAAACATTCTTGATGGCGACTTTAACTTTACCATATAAACTGGGATATTCCGTGCACCATTCCTAGCAAACCAGACATCAAGCTTCATGAACAACTTCTTACCATCATACATGAACATTCACTTGAGCAGATTTTAAAAAAAACCCACAAGGGGAGACCCAACACTTGACCTCATATTTACGAAACAAGAAAATAACTAGGAACACCAACAGTATAAAAAAAACTAACTGGGAAATCATCAAACAAGACTCAAACAAACTCACACAAGATATAAAAGGTCATTACAATATTTCATCTACTAATGACCTTTGGAATACATTCACAGACAGACTACCTACATCAGTCAAGAAAAGCATTCCCAAGAAGACGATCACAAACAGCAAAAAACTAACCTGGGTTGATAACAACATAAAAATTAAGAAAATAAAGTAAAACAACTATATAAAAAGAGCAAAAATAATCCAGAACAATTGAAAAAATATAAAAACTTAAAAAGAACATTACGAAAAAAATGCGTAATACCTACTGGAATTACATTAAAACTAGATATGGACGATGCCCCCTTCTGCTCTGCCATAAGATAAGTATAATTCACATACTACACTAGCAGGAATGAATGTCCAGCCAAAAGGTTTCAACTTGTCAGTTTTAGTAGTCACCAAGTTCAACTTTCTATTTCCAGAAGTCACCAAGTTCAACTTCAAGGTATTGACTAAATATTTGACAATACTAAAAAATCTTATTTAATGCATTAGGGACTTTAAACTGTAGTAGTACAAACCATGTTTTTACATTATATAGCAAGTGAGGATGAAATGAAGCCAAACTACCGGTGTTTGTATTTACCTCCCTCTTTCTGACTTTTGAAAAAAAAACAAAAAAAACAAAAAAGTCCAAATACCTGACATTTTGAGAATATTTGAAAAAAATCAAAATCCTTTGGACATATACAAAAAGGAAGATGGGGTATAATTTTACTATGACACAACTCTCCACAAGAGACCAAATGACACAGAAATTAACAACTAAAGGTCACTGTACGGCCTTTAACATGAGCAAAACCGAAACCACATAGTCAGCAATAAAAGGTCCCGTAATGACAAATGTAAAACAGTTCAAACGAGATAACTAATTGCCTAATTTATGAACAAAATAATGAAACAAAAACAATTATGATACACAGAAACAAACGACAACCACTGAAATACAGGCTCCTGACTTGGGACAGGCACATACAGAATGTGGCGGATTAAACATGTTAGTAGGTGTGCAACTCTCCCCCTAACCTAGGACAGTGGTCTACCAGTACAACATAAAAACAAACTATAAAAATCAGTCGAAAAAGGCTTCACTCATCACATTATGTGTACAACCCACAAAACAACCCACAAAATAGTAAAGCTATAGCACAAAAAAACTATAGAAAGAGATAGCTGGACAAACCATGATCTCTTTATGCAGCTAATACCAAAAATAACTAGTCTAAATACCTGGCATTTTTCAAATATTTGAAGAAAAAAATCAAAATCCTGTGGACATGCACACCTCCCTTATGTGTAGAAACATCCTACAAAATAATAAAGTTGTAGCTCAAAAACTGTGGAAGGAGATATCCAGACGGACGAACGGACTGACAGGGGTAAAATAATATGTCCCTCGACATTTTGTCGCGGGGGCATAAAAATGATATTTGACCTACCAGTAGAAGAACCAAATGACAACATCAGACAAAAACAACTAAAGAATTTGTAATTTGGTACAAAAAGAGTATTGTATACTGCAATATATGACATAAGAGACGATTTGAGTTTTGCAATAGCTAACTCACCTTGTTGAATAACGATGTTCCTCTTTCCACATCTCATTTCACAACTTGTACAGTTTGATATATGTTCTAATACAGCTGTCGTTATATAAAATACCTTTGCAATAACACAAGAGCTACTTGCATAGAGTTACAGATACCGCAGAACTGTGAAAAGTTTTTTTTAATATAATGTAATTGAAGAAAACAAAATTAAATAAAAAAAAACATTTTGACGTAGTTAACGTGAGAGTACCCACATTGCGCCAATTTTTTGCACCTCAGTTTTTTATGACCAAGACAAAAGTTTCCATTCTGTGTTTATTTTGTATACATGGTATATGTATCCTTATTTACTACATAATTCCACCAATTGAATTTTGAATCCATATTGAATCATAGAAATATGAATATTAATATGAACATGAACCTACCTTTAAACGATCCATGATTCTGTAATGAGGAGTACCCAAGTTGCATCCATGCTTAAATTCACATCCGTAAAACTCGAATAACTGATGTTTTGTTTTATTTCTCCAAATGTTTAGAACAATTTGACAATAGTCATTGCTTACTATTCATTTTTTAAGAAATAGCTATGTTAAAAGATGTGCATAATGTCAAATCACTAAAATACAAATGGTTGAATCTTCAAGATGTCTGCTGCTATGTTTGCTAAATGGGTACAATCTGGGTACTGTGCCGTTACTGGCCGGTGAAAAAATACTGCCGATTTAGATAAGATTTCATGACGAGTTAGTAGTCATCCAGTTGTTTTTAATTTATTTTTTGATTTATTTCACCTTTACGACAAATTGTCTAGATATGCAGTTGGTACGAACATCAAACTTGTAATGATGTCAAATGATATGAGAGTCGCCTACTTCGTTTTTACGATACACCTCGTGTGTTCTAGGTGAAAAAGTTCCACAACACGTCGAAATAAGCATAATGTAAGCGTAACAGATTTGTTAATAGACATCTAACGAAGTCGATGATCCTACAATTTTTTATATAAATCAAATGAAAATTTATTTATTAACAAGATATCAATTTTTAGGAAAAATCTATTCCTTTGTAACTGGAGATTTGATGATTTTAAGACAAATTAAAGACCATTTTTCGTCAATTTTCAATTCTAGTTCAACGAGTTAAAGTTGTATACCAAATTTTACCACAATCTGTGATATAGGCCATTTATTGTACCTTGACCTATAATGAAATCAATGGGAAGTGTATGTTTTTATCTGATGTTTTGCTATGTTTTGTCCATTTAGGTAGATATCTCCCTCTCTAATTCTTCAGATTTTGCTGAAAATGGATTTTCCAGTCAAGGTGAATCTACACAGAAATAAACGAAAACTCGGATAACAAATCCAGAATGTAATCTAAAGAAAGACAAAGGATTTGTGTAGAAATGTAAGAAATCATTTTATGGAGTTAATCTCTGCTACTTATTTATTTACTTTTTGTCCTCCGTTGCATACATAAATCTTTTATAATTAATATCACTGATAAATGTTATTATGCTTACCTGCATGATTCAGTACAGCTGGTGAGATCAAATGTAAAAGGGAAAATATAACGAAAATTGTGTTCATTTTATCGTCTTGTGTGTACAAAACTGAAAAAAGGTTTTGCAGACTTCAACGAATGTATTATTTGTGGCCGTTTCCTGTTACGTATATTTGAGTCTTTATTTAAATATAACCCCTGAGGGATATATACATGTATATATATATATATATCACATAATGTACGTTTTAGATTAATGAAAGAACCAAGAAAATAAATCAAGACGATGTTTAGAGTTGTCAGTGTAAGGATATGAAATGCTAAAATAAAATTAATTGCTTTCCCGTTCTTAAAATGACAGTTGGACCTTACAACCTCATTGCGCATAAATAAGTTTTAAAATTGAATATTCGTTTTACTTTATTTGGCCTTTTTAACTTTTGTGATTTGAGCATCAGTGATTAGTATTTTTTAGACGAAACGCGCGTGTGCCGTACACAATTTTAATCCTGGTATCTATGATGAAATTGAGAATGGAAATGGGGAATGTGTCAAAGAGACAACAACCCGACAAAAGAGCAGAAAACAGATCAAGGCCACCAATGGGTCTTCAATACAGCGAGAAAATCACGCACCCGGAGGCGTGCTTCAGCTGGCCCCTAAACAAAAATATGTACTAGTTCAGTAATAATGGACGTCATACTAAACTCCAAAACATATAAAAGAAACTAAAATTTAAAATCATACAAGACTAACAAAAGCTAGAGGCTCCTAGGAGACTTAGGACAGGCGCAAAAATGCGGCGGGGTTAAACATGTTTTTTGAGATCTCAACCCTCCCCCTATACCTCTAGCCAATTAAGAAAAAACAAACACACAGCAATACGCACAGTAAAACTCAGTTTAAAAGAAGTCCGAGTCCGATGTCAGAATTGGTAACAAAAGAAACTAAACAAAATGACAATGATACATAAATTAACAAAGGACTACTAGCAGTTACTGACATGCCAGCTCCAGACCTCAATTAAACTGATTGAAAGATTATGTCTTCATGATATGAATATCAAGCACAATCCCTCCCGTTAGTGATTTAGTATCATACCATCATAAGATAAACGAGAAGAACACAACCCGTACCATGCCAACAACTGGTTTGGGAATAAATGTGTTTATTTCCGATGCAAAGACCCTATAAGTGAATCAATATTAAAGCCAAAAGATGCCATCTTTAATGATCTGACAACAGTATCAACCACTGATCATTTACTATATCTCTTTATACCATTAAAGACTTGCAAGAAAACAAATATTGCAATATGTGAATGGTAAATTGTGACTTGATAAAACATTTTTTTTCAAAACCAGTTCATATATATTGACTGTCAATTAATTATTTAGTTTGATCTTTGATGTCGTGGTAAGCTTGTTGAATCTGGAGGTTTTATATAATCAATTATTTCTCGAGACTTTGAAATAATATTCTTTTTATTTTGCCAAATATTAACAGATCACATCAAATATTAGCGGCATGAAACACTTCGAATGACTTTTGGAATCAGGAGTCACCACAAATGTAACAATGAATAAAAACTTTGCAACACGAAACTGGAAGCAGCTGAAAATGGAAAAACGTGTATAGAATAGTGTTATATAATTATATGGACATTCAATTTGCTATAACACTTTGATCTTGGCCGTTGGTTTTAAATTGTTTCACATGTTGTCATGCATGTGTTTTTATATTATAGCTCACTATATGATGTGGTTTTGGTCATTATGGAAGGCCGTAAGGTGGACTATTATCACACATCTACTCCCTTCAACCTATGACTGATAATTTTTTCATTGGCAATCATACCATATCTCCTTTTCTTTTATGGTTAAGTAAATGATATAGTTTCAATAACCAAAACACTACACACCTCGCTTGAATCCATTGAAACTGATTTGTTAGAAAATAGAAAGAGTCGTTTAATTCCAACAAAGGTTAAAGACTATTACATACTACAGACATAAGATTTAAGTGGTAAGCCAGTTATATGATAATAAAAACTATTCGAATCACATGATGCTTACAGTGTCTGGAAACATTTAGCTTATCATACTTTTGTAGTTATTGTTGTATAAATTTTAAGAAACGATATTGATTTCCATTACAAATTAATTCTTTAAACTTACCTCACAGTTATTTGCGAAGTACCAGAGACAAATAATACTGAAAAGTTTACAATAATTGCAGATTTAGGCATAATATTTTTAAATGCCATTTAAAGGATTATAAAAGAGCTAGACATGACAAATAATACACAAATCATTCCAAAACGTTATTTTGCTTTCAGTGCAGTATTAATATATAATTCATATAATTATAAAAATAAGAATTTGCTGTAATAGCACCGTACTGGGAAGATTTCAGTTTTTCTTCTCTCCGAATATCAATATCATTATATCATGGACTTTGGTTGAAATGCACTGCAATGAACACAGAAAATACGGTGTGTCGTGATTAAACTTTAAATACAAGTTTACATGAGATTTACCAGTTTTTTTTATTTTGGACCCCTCACCTTACCCACTTTGTATATTTTACAGTCAAGAACTTTGTGAATATTTTTGTTTGTTTATATATTTCTTTTGCATTTTAAAGAATTTGTGTTGATGGCAGCTTCTTGGTAGTAAGCTAAAGGCTCTATTTAGTTTATTCGCAGCTTTTTTTAGGTCCGGAATAATAATAGCTTGATATACTGTTGAAACATTTGTCATATTCACTTTCACTGCTTAAGGAAGAGCGTCTACTGTTTGGTTCTGAAACGTTATTATCACTTAATATTGTCTCTCTTATCACTTGTGAAGGGGTATCAACTTGTGTTGTCGTTTCTGTAAGTACTCGCATTGAAATATCACGCATCTTTTGTTCTACAATTTCTGAGGTCGGCATCGACATTTGTTCGGCATCGCGCTTTTCATGATTTTCAATTTGATCATTTCCCGGCGACGATAAATATACACTATTATTGACATTTATTTCCAAAGGTATATCAATTTCTTGATAGATTTCATTGGCATTTCCTGTATCAGCTTCGTCTCGAGATGATGGTGATCTTATCCGATTTTGCATTGAAATATCACGCATCTTTTGTTCTACAATTTTTTGTATCGTTTGTATTGAAGTCGGCATCCACATTTGTTCGGCATCGCGCATTTCATGATTTTCAATTTGATCATTTCCCGGCGACCTTAAATATACACTATTGTTGACATTTATTTCCAAAGCTATATCGATTTCTTCATAGATTTCATTGGTATTTCCTGTATCAGCTTGGTCTCTAGATAATGGTGATTTAATCCGATTTCTGTTATAGTGTCGGATAAAAAGACAACACAAAATAAAAGTAACAATCACAAATAATGTCAACGTTAATGAGATTAAAAGAATTTCTGTTAGTTTGCTAGATACGATGTTCTCTTGTTCTTGAATTCCTGCAATACAAACACAAAACGTTTGTCCAGTAAAATGTCAACGTATGCTTTCGAAAAATAACATTTGTTGATACAAAATTTATTTCAATAAAGCACATGTGATGGCTGAGGTGTATATTTTGTATAAGCATAATATAAGGTCAAAGAACTACTTATCATATAGTCAGAAAGACTAAAATCTGCGAGAACAGTATGATAAACTGACGTTGTTTATCATTTTAATTACGTCTTATAGTGTTCTAGTTACTTTAGTCCGATGTTAGAATAAGTAACAAGAGAAACTAAGCAAAATTACAATGACCAACATGAATTAACAAAGGACTACTAGCAGTTACTGACATGCTAGCTCAAGACATCAATTAAACTGATTGAAAGATCATGTCTTCATCATATGAAAATCCAGCACAATTCCTCTCGTTAGGGGTTTAGTATCGTACCATCATAAAATATACGAGAAGAACATAACCCGTATCATGCCAACAACTGGTTTTAGAATAAATATGCTTATTTCCGATGCAAAGACCATATGAGTGAATCAATATTAATTCGAAAAATGCCATTTTTAATGACCTGACAACTTTATCATAACTATATCCCTTCTGAATAAGTCTGTTTAAAGGTTTGTTTAGCTTTTGAGGTGAATGACGACATGTTTGTGCTTTGTAAAGAATATTACAATAAAAGATTGAATGTGAAATACCTAACCGTATAAGATGTCTGCAGGTTGATTTATATTTACGAATGATGTCCTTGTACCGATATTAAAATTTAGTAATGTTTTGACAAGTCTGTAATATCGAAAACCCTGGTGTAATAATTTTTAAGCAATCCAACGATTTCTTTCGTTAAAATCAAATACGTTGTTACATACACGAGCGAATCGAACAAGTTGAGATATATAAACACCATAAGATTCTGACAAGGGAACGTCAGCATCTAAAAATGGATAATTAACAATAGGAAATGAAATATCATCTCTATTATCGTAAATTTTGGTATTAGGCTTCCCGTTAAAAATATAGATATCTTGATCCAGTAAAGGGCAGCGTTCATTGTTCGTGTGACACGCAGTTTATACTTCGTTTGTGGTGTCCTGGTGTACTGTCGTAAATGCATGGGAGGTGTCCGTTGTTATTTTGTGGTTTATTCTGTGGTTTACGTTGTTATTCTGTTGTTATTCTGTGGTTTTCTTTCATAGATACAAAGATTTGATTAGTAAATTTGGCTCTACCATTAAAAAACTTATAAAAAACGGTATTTAACATCCTAAATTTTAGAGTAATATTGTACTAAAAGCGCTGAAATTATTTTGTGATCCGTATTAACTCATCGAACCTTTAAACAAACTTATTAGTAAATAATAGTAGTAGATCTTTGAATATTGTTTACATTGGAACAAATATCGATTTTGTCATCACCAAATTAAAACATAACTAAATTTGTATTCTTTTCAAACGGGCTTTTGGGATGTATAAATGCACATCCACGTTCATTTTCTATATAGAGATTACTTTATCTATATATAACATTATACATATTTATTAAAAGGTTAACTCCTAACTATCCTACTACCTGTCGATACTTTTATTTTGGCATTGCACAAGTCATGTCTTTTTTGACTGTCCATGACGTTAAAACACTAAATCCCTGGGATGTGTTTTAGTTGATTTTAGTCTCTGATGCATGATTTTTTATATTTATTTTTGTTGGCTTTTAACCAGCTTTCAATAACTGCCAGTACTCTCAAATCGTACTTAAGTGTTTATTTGACTTGTTGATGCAATTTGTAATGCAGTTTTGTTATTTAAAGTTTACTTATTTTGTGTTATATCTCGTCTCACTATTCTTAATATATACCACCTTTGATAAGTGTTTGGTATGACGATAAATGTTCACTCCTGTTCTCGTACTATAAACAAAAAAAAAATTTTATTTGTAAATTATATTTCCGTACTCCATGTATACCTTACAACAAAATTATTTTCATTTATCTGTGTACGTTATTATATTTGGGTGCATTTTGTCCAAGGTTATGGTTGTCTTTCTGATATTATTTTACATCTCACCCCTTTCTTTATTAATTTTGTATAAACTTTGTGTCATAGATCAAATTTATTCGTTCAATTTATGTTTACTTTTTCTTTAATATGTCTTTTGATTGAGTTAATCCATTTTACTTGATATTCTATAGTGTGTTTTTCTATGTTGTGATGTTACACTATTGTTTCAGGTTAGGGTGAAACGTTTAAACCCGCTGCATTTGTTTGCACCTGTCCTAAGTCAGGAACATGTTGTTCAGTGGTTGTCGTTTGTTGATGTGGTTCATAAGTGTTTCTCGTTTCTCGTATTTTATAAAGATTAGACCGTTGGTTTTCCTGTTTGAATGGTTTTACACAAGTCATTTTTGGGGCCCTTTATATCTTTCTGTTCGGTGTGAACAAAGGCTCCATGTTGAAGGCCGTACTTTGACCTTCAATGGTTTACTTTTACAAATTGTGGACGGAGAGTTGTCTCATTGGCACTCATACCACATCTTCTTAAATCTATTTACTTGTTGAAATGTACTATTATATTATTTATTTATGTATTTCTCTGTCCTCAGTGTTCTTGCGTTTATTTGTACTGTATTTCTGTCACGTAATGTTGTCATTTTAGCGGTATTGTTAACATTGCCATATAAGCGGGAGGTTTGGCTAGCCATAAAACCAGGTTCAACCCACCATTTTGTCTTAATATGTCCTGTATCAAGCCAGGAATATGGCAGTTGTTATCAAATAGTCCGTTTCTATGTATGTTGGCGATTGTTTTTGTTGCAGTTGAGTGTTTCTGTTGTTCCGCTGGTTTCCTTCGGTTTTAGTTTGTAACCTGGATTTTTTTCTCATTCGATTTATAACTATTGAACAGCTGTACATACTGTTGCCTTTATTTAATGTTAGCTTCAGCAGGATAAATTTCTTTAGTTTACAAACTGAAGTCGTCATTATTGAGAGCCAATATATCATCCAAATATCTAAAAGTATTATTAAATTTTTGTATCAGATGTTGTTGCAATGAGAATGTCAAACGCTATCAATCAATGGAACAAATGAAAAAGAACTTGCATATTCCTGACTTGGAACATGCATTTTCCGAGAAAAAAAAATACACATGATACAGTAGTATTTGTAGAGATTCTGCTAGTTCTTGATTAGGTATCCTGTTCCCCTTCAATATAACTTAAAAGTCAAATCGAACACCATTTTGAAACTAATTAAACAAGTTGATTGTTTCTTTAACCAACTATCACGTTATTGAGGGGTAAAATGCATAATACGGTATTCATAGATTGTATAAAAATCAAACATTGATTTCATGTTTACGTCCATACTATTAAACGAAGATTTTGTTTTATCAAAATAAGAAGATGTGGTATAATTGCCAGTGAGACAACTCCCCATCAGTGACCAAATGACATTGAAGTTAAAAACTAAATGTCACCGTACGGACTTCAACAATGAGCAAAACCCAAACCGCATAGTCAGCAATAAAAGGCCCCGAAATGACAAATGCATACGGGAAAACTAACGGCCTGATTTTTGTACAAAACAGTGATCGAAAAACAAATATGATATACAGCAACAAACGACAACCCCTGAAAAACAGGCCCCTGACTTAAGACAGCCATAAACAGAATGAGGCGGGGTTAAACTATTTTGTTGGCGCCAAATCCTCCCCTAACCTTGGATAGTGGTGTGACAGTACAAAATAAGAACAAACCTTAAAAATTAGTTGAAAAGGGCTTAACTCAGCAGATCGAAACAAAGCAGAAAAACAACTAACAAAAACACAGACCGGACATGACAGGGTATTTATACACCCCACTACAAAAAAGACACTAAGTATTGATCTGAGAGTACTCGCAGTACATTGTGTTATTGTGCTATAGTCATGTTTTGTATTCTTGTATTTCATTTTTGCTTATGTGCTTTGTCTATAGCGTGTCTATATGTCATATTGTTTTTCTTTGTTGACATGGTTGTTTGTTTTTATAGAGTTTTGAGATTATAACACAATGTTAACTGCACCCCGATTTCTTACATTTTTACCTATTATGTCTCTTTGTTTTGCTCACAAAATTATTGTCAATATCATGGAATTCTATGCCACAGTCATACAAGTGAGAGGTTTGGCTAGCTATAAAACCAGGTTTAATCCACCATTTCCTACATAAGGAAATGCCTATACCAAGTCAGGAATATGAGTTGTTTTCTATTCGTTTGATGTGTATGAGCTTTTGATTTTGCCATATGATAAGGGACTTCCCGTTTTTAATTTTTCGGTATTTTTGTTATTTTACTTTTTACTGACCGCTAGTACAAAGCCAATAACAGCTAATAAGTAATCATTTATCTAAGATTAAAATATAAATCAGTACACATCCAACATGCAATGCATTTAGTTTGAAGACGCTTAAATAAAAGAGATACACTGACAAATAAAGTACGAAGTAGGAGAGGATAAACAAAACTCCGAATGGGTTTGCCAAATATAGCTAAGGTTATCTATTCCTGGAGAAGAAAATCCTTAAATTTGCAAACAATTCAAGGTATAATGAACAGTTAATTTATTAATTCTATCATATATATGAAAATTCATGTCTACACAGAAGTGCTGATTACTGGGCGGGTGATACCCTCGGGGAGGAAACATACACCAAAAGTGGCATCGACCTATTAAAAACAGTTAATTGAAAATACCAGGCTTATCATTTTGTCAGCCAAAAACATGTTTTTTCTACAAAATATATGTTCATTCCATGATTTTCTCTTTTCCATCTTACGTAGTTCACGGTTTACTTATTCGGCAAAATAAACCAAATGTACATTTACATTAATACTAAAAAAATAAAATATTGTTTATCATGTTTGTTGTTATATAAATGGATTTACATTTACTTTGTCATTATGGAATTGTCTGCGAAAAATTAGATCAAAATAAAAGTAATGCTGCATGCATAATGTTGCTATGGCTATTAAGTAAATTTCCAAATTGGTTTATGAAATATATTTTTTCTTCAAATTTACCAATATAATTTGTTCATGTGATATTGTACTATTAGTCGGATCGTGTTAATATATAAATGTGGATCTAACAGCAAGTGACTTAGTATTGTTGTTTAAAAAAAAGTGTTCAATAATTCTTAAATATCCATTTAGGAAAATAAGTTCTTCAGGAATGAACAATTTGACAGATCTGCGGAACAACAAAGATCACCACAATGCATATGATCGCAACTTTTCCAACTCAAAACTTAATAACAAATCGTTCGTACCTTGACATGGGAATGACCAATTCCCTGTTGAACCCCCTCCTGTAGAAATTCCAATATTTCTGATTTTCAATGGGCTTGAAGTATCAGTCCATTCCATGATTTTTGCTTTACTTCCATTTTCTACTCTAATATGACCATTTCGCCAGTTAATGTAAAATGTCCTATATTCAGTTTGTTTGAGTACTTGTCCATCATGTGTTGCCAATGCTACCCCTTCTTTGCTGTCACGGATGACCGACTTTGAGTTAGCCCAACCCCCCAATACTACTTCATAAAGAGGATCCTGGTCAGTATTTGAAGACATTAAAGCTACCTGTGCATTGCTGCTAGCCTTAACTTTGAAATTAATACTATCGGCTACTGGATTTCCAATACCAATGCCATTGTCTGACAAAAGTATGTATTTATACAGGTTTGGGGTTTCAATGCTTGGTCCCTGACAATCTGCAAATATAACGACACTGAAATTTAGCATAAAATGTGGATAACGTGGGTATTTTTTGGTTAACTTTACCGGAAATGATTTTAATGCAAATTAGTTGTTTCTGTTAGCAATGACAATGAATTTGCTCTATCGAAATATTTGTTTTATTTCCACCTTTATATTTTCTAAAAATCTATTTTGAGTATAATTGTTATTTAACATTTTACTCCTTGACAGCTGATTAAGTTCATGGGACTGCCAATCCTTACATAAAACGATTACCGCTATTATTAGCAAATCATGTCACAAGTATGAAATCCTTGGATACTATCGAAATATTTGTTTTATTTCCACCTTTATATTTTCTAAATATCTATTTTGAGTATAATTGTTATTTAACATTTTACTCCTTGACAGCTGATTAAGTTCATGGGACAGCCAATCCTTACATAAAACGATTACCGCTATTATTAGCAAATCATGTCACAAGTATGAAATCCTTGGATACTATAAGGACGGTCTCGTAATGATGGACAGTCCACCAGCATAAGTTTGGGCCCAGAGGCAGTTAGGAGAAAAAACTGTCATAATTGCAATGTGCACAAAACTTTGTGTTTTATCAATATCATAATATTGTATTACTTGCAAGAACATTTTACAAATAAAACACTCATTGCAAACTGAAATATGTTCAAGGAATCTTTCATTCATTATTTCTTGCTTGTTAAGTTTAGTTGAAGTATTTGATGGATCTGCAGGACAACTTAGATCAATACAGTGCATATGGTCGTCACTTTTCCAAAGAGAACAAAATGGATTTACATTTGTTATTTCGGAGACTTTTATAGCTGACTACGCGGTGTGGGTTTTGCTCTTTGTTGAAGGCCTTACAGTGACCTTTAGTTGTTAACTTCTGTGTCCTTTAAACTCTGGTGGAGAGTTGTCTTATTAGCAATCATACCAATTCTTCTTATTTTTATACGTAATGAAAGTTTGTACTATGACATGGAAATGACCAATTCCCTGTTGAACCTCATCCTGTAGAAATTTCAATATTTCAGATTTCTTATAACCTTAAAGTAACAAATCCCAAGTCCCTATTGTCATTTCGGGGCCTTGTATAGCTGAGTATGCGTCATGGGTTTTGCTTATTGTTAAAGGCCTTACGGTGACCTATAGTTGTTAACTTCTATTTCATTTGGTCTCTAGTGGAGAATTGTCTAATTGTCAATCATATCAGATCTTCTTTTTTTTATATATAGAAGATACAGTCCATTCTATGATTTTACGCTTTACTTTCATCTTCTACTCTGATATGTCCATGACCCCATTTAGTGTAAAATGTCTAATATACAGCATTGTTGGCACTAGTTCATGGCACTTAAGTTATGTATCTTTTAATTTAGTTTGCAGTTTTCCATTTATTTGTCTTCGCGCTTTTATGTTCCTTTAGGTCGTATGGCTTTTGACGAGACTCGGTGTTTATTCATTCAGCTATTTAGTTTTTGACTTTGGGCGTTCCTGTTGAATGTGGGTCCATGAGTGTAATTCGGACGCAATAGGTGTTTTAGCTTGTTGTTTTCATTTTTTACCCCTTTCTCTATGTTTAGGTTGTTTTTAATTTATTGAGAAAGTGTGTACTATATAATGCTATCAACTATAATAACTTTTTTGTTGGCGTCTATATCAGGTTTATTATCAACTGAAAACACTTTATTGTGTGCGGCTTTTTGAGATTTATTTGTATGTTTGTTTGAATGTTTTAGTCAGTTGTGTTGAATGTCTGTGATGTTTGTTAACACAGGTTTGACTGCTGGATCCCAATTATTGTCACATTAACATTTAATTTCTGTTTGGGCTGCGCACCCATTTTGGTCAATATAACGTAACTATAAACAACTGTCATGCAAATGGTAGCATTAGCTACCTATACATAAAACCAAGTTGAACCCAATATTTTCAGAAAATGCTTATACCAATATAAATAAGAAGATGTGGCATGAGTGCCAATGAGACAACTCTCCCTCTAAGTCACAATGATTAAAAGTTAACAATTACAGGTCAAAGTACCGCCTTCATCACGGAGCCTTGGTCTACACCGAACAGCAAGCTATAATGAGCACCAAGTCAGGAATATGACAGTTGGTTTCCATTCGTCCCGTTGATTAATGAAGTCCAATGTTTGATTTTGTCGATCTTATGAACTTCCCCATTTTGGAATTACCTTGGAGTTCGGTATTGTTCTTATTCTTTTTTTCGTTTTCCTGACAATCTGAAATTAAAATGACAATGAAGTTGAACAGAAGATGTGAATAAAACGTTTAGTTTTTAGTTAACTTGATCGGAAATAATCTGTCTGTGTACTATTATGTTCCATTTGGTCGTAGGACTCTTGACGTGGTCCGGTATATGTGCATCCAGCTTTCAAGTTTTTGGCTTTTGGCGCTCCTTATGCGGGTGGGTCCAGAGATGCGATTCGGTCACATGATGGTTTTATAGTGTTGTTTTCATTTTGTATACCCTTGTTATCATATTTTACTTATTTTGTATTTTATCGGGAAAATGGTTATGTCATTATGCTTTACTATACTAACGGCATTACCAACTACAAAAACACTTTTGTTGGCGTTTTTATTTGAATTAATTGTAAGTGTGTTAAAACGTTTAATTCACTTGTGTTGTATGTCTGTGATGTATGTTAACACGGTTTTGGCTGCTGGATCTCAGTTATGGCTACGTTAACCAATTATGTCTGTTTGTGTTGCTCACCCAATTTGCAATATTAAGGAACATTAAAAAACTGTAATACAAATGGAGGTTTTAGCTCGCAAGAAATTCAGGTTTAACTCACCATTTTCTTAAATAAAATGTCTGTGTAAAGTCAGGATTATGACCGTTGTTTTTCTGCGTTTTATTTAAACAATGCTATTTCAACAAATTTTACAGAAATCAACAAGGATCTTCATGTTACAGATATGACTGTGCATAAAAATTAATGGAAATCAGATGAGACAATCTTAACTCTTCATACGACATAAAACCTATGCAGGACGGATGTATATTATTATAAAACAACCAGTCGGTTTGGTATTATCAAATAATCAGATCAAATGGCATTGAACTACCATGGTAAAAATACAGAGAGTTGGTATGATTGCCAATACTCCATTCTCAACGAATATTCATAAGTTCCGTATATTAACTCAAATCGAGGCTAAGGTCGGTAAGTCGAACAAGATGGACGTCGAGAAGACTATCAAAGGGAACGACAAGCGGCGACATCTGGAATTGTCGTTTTACAGGTTCCCCCAAACTGACCAAAGAAGGAACCTGTGGATCCAGGCAATTAGAAGAGATCCAGGGCCCATGTTCAACGTAATAATTTCCCCATTCGGTGAACATTGCATGTTGATGTATATAGATATAAGAAGATGTGGTATGAGTGCCAATAAAGACAACTCTCCATCCAAGTCAGAATTTGTAAAAGTAAACCATTATAGGTCAAAGTATGGCCTTCAACACAGAGCCTTGGCTTACACCGAACAGCAAACTATAAAGGGCTCCAAAAATTACTAGTGTAAAACCATTCAAACAGCAAAAACCAACGGTATAATCTATATAAAAAACGAGAAACGAGAACAAAAGTGAAAATTTATCGTCAAACAAAACACTTATCAAAGGTGGTATATATTAAAAATAGTGAGACTAGATATAACACTGAATAAGTAAACATTAAATAACAAAACTACATTACAAATAGTATCAACAGGTCAAATTAACACGAAAGAACGTACATAAATCATGATTGAGTTCAGTTTAATGATAATGATTGCATCTACTACATTCATCACTGACTGCACATTTTAATTGAGTTTTGAATATTTACAGGCCAGGCATATTGCTGCTATGACAAGCCAACTACCCACCTAAGTTCAAATGTAGTGGATGTAAGCAATTATAGGCAACTGAACGGTCTTCAACAATGAGAAAACTCACACCATATAGTCGGCTATAACAGGCCCCGACATGAAAAATATGAAACAATCCAATTTAAAAAAACTAACGGCCTTATTTATAAAACAAAACAAGTTACGAAAAACGAATATGAGACATGAACCAACGACAACCACTAAACTACAGGCTCCTGGCTTTGGACAGACTCATAATGAATGTAGCGGTGTTAAACATGTTTAAAAGCACCAATCCCACCCCCTAACCTTGGACAGTGGTGTAACAGTACAACATAAGAATAAACTATATATATTTTAGTTCATTTATATGTTTTGGAGTTTAGTATGACGTCCATTTTCACAGAACTAGTACACATTTTTATTTAGGGGCCAGCTGAGGACCACCTCCGGATGCGGGATTTTTTCTCGCTGCGTTGAAGACCCATTGGTGGCCTTCGGCTGTTATCTGCTCTTTGGCCGGGTTGTTGTCTCTTTGACATATTCCCCATTTCCACTCTCAATTTTATAAAAATCAGTTGAAAAAGGCTTAACTCATCAGATCGATACAAAGCAGAAAAACGTCTCTAACAAAACACACAGACCGGACGTGGAAGGGTATTTAGTCATCCCTCAAAACAGAAAAGACACAAAGTACCGATATGAGAGTACTTGCAGTTACTGACAGCTAATTAAAAGCCAATAAAAACTAATAAAAAAGCATGTGTATAAGACTGCCTTATTCACAAACAAAAGTGAAACGGAATAAATCATGCAAAAACAATCTTTTGCCATAAAAATTATCATGTCACCCCTTTGAAGAATGATTTGATCGTTTTCGTGGATTTTTGCAATATTGAATATGCGGCAACAGATCTTTCACGATCCTTTTCACGATTATCAATAATCGGTACCAAATCTTTTACGATCCGAAATATACTATTTCTACAAATATTCCCATTTTTGTAAAGTTTTTGATTAAACTAAAACAAAATAACTTTGAGAACCATTTTAAACAGTAATATGGAACGATATTTTTAAGAAAAAAGCAGTTTATGCATTCAAAATATGAAAAAAAAACATGTTCGTTTACATTTCTATTTCTTTAAAATTTCGATAAGCAATTTTCCTTTTGTTGTTTTGTAAACATGGTGTACTTTTAAGACTTGATTTTTCGCGGATACTGATCATACAGTTGAACCCTATTGACAGACAGTTTCATTTTTCCAATATTTGTCGTTATAAGTCATTAAGTTAGAACTTTTACTGACGTTGCAAGTGTCTTCTCGATAAGATTTCCTTTTCGATCATATACCAGATCTTTCATGATCCAATCGCAATACTTGACCACCGTTAAGTTGTCTCTAACGATCATGTTTCTCGATATACCGAATGAAAGCCATGTATAATTGATTGATGTGGTTTTGATCGTGTGAATTAAATAAAAAAGTGTAAATAAAAAAGTTAGAATTCAACAACAAGTGGCTAAACTTTATTATTTGCATAAAAGTATCTTACTGTGGATTCATTTATTTTCGTGGATAGAGAAAAAAAGACGTTTCGTGGTATACGTAAATGCGTGGATCGCTGATTACAAAAGAAACAAAAATTCAGATACGTAATTCGTGGATTTCTTTTTAATTTAGGAGATCATATAACCTCCTTGGTTTGATCAATAATAAAACAAAAAACAAAAAAAAGAAGGAATTCATTGAAAAGGTTTTGAATCGTCAAAATCCTCGCTTGGTCATTCTAGGTTAAAGTGTTCATTGAAAACTTCTATTACAATAATGGACATAGACAACTAATTACTTGTTTGTTTTACAATTTATAAATTTTGGTCGGAATTTTATAAGGCATTCAAAACTCTATGATTGAAAGCTCATTTCCCTAATCACGATATAATAAACAGTCATATAAGTAAAAGGTGTGAAAATAAATGTTCCTGTCATAAACAATATTACCTACGGGCAATATCCACGTACTTAATCCTATTGATTTTTAATCACCAGTAAACCACACTATAACACGGTAATTAACAACTTGCAGTTATTTTCCATGAACAGTTTTATTCAATTTTAAAAAGTAAATTATCACTGATATTCGATATATTAATTATTGATTTAATCAAAATACTTGTATCTTCTTTCAATAAAAGCACGTGTTATGTTACAATGTTTATCGCTAGTCAACACTATACTAGAACTGCATAACATAACCGGAAATAAACACCCGACTCCATACACATTTCTCGGGATTATTCTTCGTTGAATTCTTAAATTCGTGGTTCGCTGTGACCCACGAAACCCACGAAAATTGGTATACCACGAATAAAAATGAATCCACAGTAACTCTTGAATTTCCATTTCAGAAACTGAGGTCTTTGAACTGAACTGATTGAAAGATCTACATGAAAAGGAAGACCACCACAGTGCGAATGATCGCAACTTTTCAAAAAAAGAACTAAAAAAACGCTGATACCTTGACATGGAAATGACCAATATCCGATTGAACCCCATCCTGTAGAAATTCCAATATTTCTGATTTCAAACGAGCTTGAAGTATGAGTCCATTCCATGATTGTCAATTTACTTCCATCTTCTACTCTAATATGTCCATTGCTCCATTTAATATAAAATGTCCTATATACAGTTTGTTTGAGTACTGGTCCACGATGCGTTGCCAATGGTAACCCTTCTTTGCTGTAACGGATGATAGACTTTTTGTTAGCCCAACCACCCAAAACTATTTCATAAAGAGGATCTTGGTCAGTATTTGAAAACATCAAAGCTACGTGTGCATCACTCTTAGCCTTGACCTTAAAACTAATACTATCCATTACTGGATTTCCGATACAAATGCCGTTGTCTGACAAAAGAATGTATTTATACAGGTTTGGGGTTTCAATACTTTGTCCCTGACAATCTGAAATTATAAGTAACAATGAAATAAAGCATAATACAATATGTAAGATGGGAATCACATGGGGAAGTTTTTAGTAAACTTAATCGGAATTAATTTGAATTTGAATTTAGCAATAAAGATATCTTTGAACCATCTTAATGTTTTTCTTTTATTGTCACCTTTTAAATTTTCTAATATCAATAACAATTTAAGCCATTTTTAAAACATTTTTCACTTCGACAGCTGATTTAGTACATAGGAGATCCAAGCCTTAAATAAAACGCTTACCGCTATCATTATCAAAATCACTTCCTATTAACAATCCAAACTTTTCTGGGATGGTCCGATTAATATATCCTCCTGAAATAGAGATTAAAGAAACCACAGATACAGTTTCCTTCGCCTCATTTCTAGAAATATACCTCCAAATTGACTTAAGTAGTAATCTCAGAACCAAATGATTTGACAAACGAGACGATTTCAATTTTGAAATCATCAATTTTCCTCACCTTAGCAGGAATATACCAATTTCACCCGCGAATGGAGTATATGTTCCTGGACTCATACGATATTCATCCGCTTGCAGCTGTTAACTTTGTAACGTCTTCGGTGTCTGAGCAAAAGATTGAGGAACCAGGTTTTTTTTCAAAGAGCGTCCCGTTCTTTTTTCTCAAAAAGTTCATCGGAAGTACCAAGACCTAATGGATAAATATTCAGTGCATAATTTACAAATAATACAAGATGATCTTGTTTCTGTATATCATTTTTGTTTTTGTTCATGGTTTTGTACAATCAAGACATTAGTTTTCTCGTTTGAATTGTGTTAGATTTTTTATTTCGGGGCCTCTTATAGCTGACTACGCGGTATGGGGTTTTCTCATTTCAGAAGGCCGAACGGTGACCTATAGTTGTTAATTTCTATGTCATTTGGTCTCTGGTGGAGTGTTGTGTTATTGGCACTAATACCACATCTTCTTATCTTTATACTATAGTATTCAGATATAGATTCTAGGCGCTGAGGCTGTGTATCTTTTTATTACCTTGACAGTTTTCCCTTTACTTATCTTTGTGCTATTATGTTCCTTTTTGTCGTATGACTCTAGGCGTGGCTCGGTACTAATGCATCCAGCTATCGAGTTTTGGCTTTAAGCGTTCCTGATGCAGGTAGGTTCAGAGGTGAAATTCGGAAGAAAGAGGATTTTACCGTGTTTTTTTTTCATTTTCTATATCCTTGTGTTTATTTTTTACTTATTTTGTACTTTTTCGAGAAAATGTATACTCTATAATGTATGTACTACATATCAACTACCAACACTTTTTCGTTGGCGTCTTTGCCAAATTAACTATCAACTACTGAACTTTTTTCTTGCCGTCTTTGTTAGATTTATTTGTATGCGTGTTTTAATGTTTTAGTCAGTTGTGTTATATGTCTGTGATGAATGTTATTATATTGGTTTTTGTTCATTACCCAATGTTGTCAATATAACGGAACTATTAACAACTTCAATATAACTAATAGGTATAGCTAGCTATAAAAACAGGTTCAACCACCATTTTCTTTGGAAAATGCATGTACCAAGTTAGGATTATGGCAGTTGTTTTCCAACTGATTGATAAAGTCCAATGTTTGCTTTTGTCAGTTTTTTTGGACTTCCCCTTTTTGAACTTACCTTGAAGTTCGGTATTTTTTTTATACCTTTTTTCTTTTCCCTGACAATCTGAAATTATAATGACAATGAAATCAAACGTAAGATGTGAATTTTACAGGCAATTTTTTAGTTAATTTGATCGGAATTAATTTGAACGCAAAATAATTATTTCTTATACCGAACTAGACTTATCACCGCGTTTGTACTTACATGAGAAACACGACGGGTGCCACGTGTAAAACAGGATCTGCTTACCATTCCAGAGCACCTGAGATCAACCCCAGTTTTTGTGAGGTTCGTGCTGCTCAGTATTTAATATTTTTTATGATGGGTTCTGTACACTGTTGTTTATCTTTTGGTCTTTTTGCCATGTCGTTGTTAGTTTATTTTCGAGTTTGAATGTCCCTTTGGTATCGTTTGCCTCTCTTTCATACTAATGGTAATGTCTTTGCTCTATCTAAATATGTATTTTAATGCCACCTTTATATTTTCTAAAAATCAATTTTGAAGTTTAATAATTCTTTGAATATTTTAGACTTTGACAGCTAGTTAAGTACAATGGACAGCCAAGTCCTCCATTATACCCTAACTGCTGTTATTAGCAAATCATGGAACAAGCATCAAACCCTAGATATCTAAATAATGTACAGTCTACCAGCATTGGATTGGGCCCATATATAGTAATAAGAAAGAACTATCATTATCTTAATGCGTACAAAACTTTGACTGCAGGAGATGACATTTTTGTTTTTAGGTCTAAATACAATTACATAATTGATACCGGTATCATATTGTTATATTTATTATTTTTTTAAGCCGAAACCAGTTTTGGAAACAAATTTGCAGTGGTAGGATAAATTTAAACCTACATGCAAAATGAAATAAGGTGCGAGGAATTTTTCGTTTTTAATTTCTGGTATGTTTAGTTTATTTTGATCTAGTAGTTGCAGACGTGAAGATGAAAAGATCAATGTTTTTGCCGACGAAAAAGGACTATCATAACCACTAAAAAATGAGTTTTAGTCTGAAACGGTCACTTGGATTCTATGATCATCTGAAAAAACTGAAACCTAAATTAGTAAGTCATTTGCAGTCTTCCAGTCTATTTTCCGATTTATTGAATGAGGTTAATTCAGTGTGGTTCAGACAATTCGCGTAGAGTCAATAAGTACTGTTCAATATATTTTGGTCGTCTGCACAGGTTACAAGCAACCACTGCATATTCTGAGCAGACTGAATATATCTTTATTGACTGCGGGCTTATTGTCTGAACAGTACCGCAGTTTACTGCAGTGAATAGGTATGAAAATTGACTATTTCAGACTAGCATTCGTTTACTAGTGAACAGATTTCAATTGTTAAAAAGAATTTCACCTGGCCTTTAAGCTAGGTGAGCTCAGGGCCTAATCTAGGATTTTGGAGAGGAAGAAGTGACTTCTCCTTCCTTGAGAGAGAAGAGAGAAGTGGTCATTTTCTTGGAGAAGTGAGATTCAATTACCGTTTCGGTTGCATAGTGTTCTCTTGCTTATCACTAAGGAAATTGTTTTATATGCAATAAAAAATATGCTTGCAGTTTTTTTCATGTTATTGAACAAAATGTATATATAGAAAGTTCTTAATAAAAAGGTTTAGACAATATATTTGTTATTTATTCATTGATACCATTTGTACTGTCAACTTGAATTTAAGTTTATATAAAATGTGTAGCCTAGTAAAATTATGCCTCAATTTATTTTTAAATGCCCAGAAAAATATGACTCCATGTTTACCTGATGAATTTCACATGACTGGGAATTTAATTTATATCACCACTTGTCATTATTTTGTAAAACATTATTGAATGTCCAGGACATCATGTTACATGTTGTAAATTGAGATTCTCGTTAAAGATTGTAAGCCTATTATTGAAAATATCTGTCAATCACATATTAATCAACCGATAAAGAGCTAATTTCTATCATTTTTTAAAGATATCTTCCCTATCAACGAAATGGTCGTGAAAAAAAAATCCACTGCTGATCACAGCTGGTTGAGTGTTATGGCATGGGTGAGCTAAAACCCTAGTATCCAAAAAATATCGTACGTGTTTCACTGTTACATTGTTTGCAAGATATAGCAATTGTACATTTACATTAGTACCTACAAATATTGAAATATGGTTTATTGTGTCATTTTGGTATATAAAATGATTAACCATTTAAAATAATATAATGGTCCGCGAAAAAAAGGAGTTCAAAACACAAGCCCTGCTGCATGATGTTACTATGGCTATTTTGCTTCCAAACTGAGTAATGAAATATATTTCTTATCAAACTAACCCATATAATTGATAAATGTGGTTTTGAACTAGAAGTTGGATCGTGTGAAAAAGTGTAAATGAAAAACAGTGTTATATATATAAGCAAGTGGCTTAACATTGTTGTTTTTAAAGAAAGTCTTTCATAGCTCTTGGATTTATATTTCATAAACTAAGGTTTACATAAAGAACTACAAATCGAAACGTCGGTACCTTGACATGGGAATGACCAATTCCCTGTTGAATACCACCATGTAGAAATTCCGATATTTCTGATTTCAAATGGGCTTGTATCCGTCCATTCCATGATTTTTGCTTTACTTCCATCTTCTACTCTGATATTTCCATTACTCCAGCTAATGTTAAATGTTCTATATACAGTTTGTTTGAGTACTGGTCCATGATGCATTGCCAATGGTAGCCCTTCTTTGCTGTCACGGATGATAGACCTTGAGTTAGCCCAACCACCCAATAGTATTTCATAAATAGGATCTTGGTCAGTATTTGAAGACATTAAAGCTACGTGTGCATCACTCTTAGCCTTTACCTTGAAATTAATACTATCCGTTACTGAATTTCCAATACAAATGCCGTTGTCTGACAAAAGAATGTATTCATATAATTTTGGGGTTTCAATACTTGGTCCCTGACAATCTGAAAATATAATGACAATGAAATTAAACATTAGATAATATATAAGATGTGAATCACACGGGAAAGTTTTAGTAAACTTGATCGGAAGTAATTTGAATGCAAAGCAATTATTCTTATTGCAATTGTGATATCTTTGCTCCATCTAAATATGTTTTATCGCCTTCTTTATATTTTCTAACATCATTTCAAGTATAACCCTTTTTCAAACATTTTACACTTCGATGTCTAGTAAAGCATGTTAAGTATATGGGAGAGCCAAGCCTTACATAATCCGCTTACTGCTATTATTAGCAAATCATATCACAGGTATAAAATTCCTAGATACTGTTAGAATGGTCTCTTAATGATGGACAGTCCACCAGCATTGTTCAGGACCAAGAGGTAGCAATAGGAAAGAACTATCAACGTTTGAATACGCACAACACTTTGCCTGTAGGAGGTGACTTTTTTGAGTGAGGTCTTAATACAATTGCATAATTGATATCGGTATCATCTTGTAATATTAAGTTGTAATATAAACAAAAATTAGTTTAGGCAGCCACTGTGCAGTGTGAATCGTTTTACAAATTTAATACTATTTGTAAACTGAAATGATGTTTTTGGACTAGCAGTCGGTTCGTGTGAAATAAAAAAGCGAAAATAAATGATAAACTTCGAATTAGCCCAACCACCCAATATTGTTTCATGATCATAAAGATGATCTTGGTCAGTATTTGAAGACATTAAAGCTTCGTGTGCATCACTCTTAGTCTTAACCTTGAAATTATTACTATCAGTTACTGGATTTCCAA